CTTGGCTTTCCCTGGGGCCCGTCAGATGGGTAATGGATGGTGTTTGTATCTAGGGTGAGGGGACCTGGAGCATGGGGGGGGCGGGTGGGTGGGGGCTGACCCACTGACTCTACTGCCACATATCTAACAACTGCCACATCACGCTGTCTATATAACAAACATTGAGCCTTGAGCAGACGAGACAGGTCAGAGGAGACGGCCAGTGGGACAGCAAACTACTTAACAAACAGACACGATCAATCAAACACAGAGTCTGGAAGCAGGGCTGCGGGCCTCAGTGTGTCAACTGGTCCTCAGGCAGAACCAATCACCTGGCTCAGATGGTCTGGCAGGTAGTTACTCGAATGTGCTGAATATAACTACAGAGCAGAATGAACGTGTACTGCAGGGGTGCCCAACTCCAGTCCTGGGGGGCCGGAGCCGTGCACAATTTTGGGTTTCCCTGCGTTTAACACACCTGATTCAACTCCTTGTGCTAATTACCACACAGCTCTTGAGCTGAATCATTAATGGTAGAACAGGGAAAGAACTAAGCTAGTTTATAAGGACATAAACCAAAGGATGCAATGTAAGGAGAGGACATTCTGTGGTAGATATTTGTGAGGTGTTTCCCTGTTCTGTCCATCTATGCAACATCCACTGTCCGATTCATTAAAAACACTCGACAAGACAAATGCACAAAATTGTTAAAAGCATCCAAAAATAAAAATTAAAGATTAAAAAAAACCATGCAGCTGCACATAAATAAAATGAAATATGATACAGTTGATTTTATTTTTGTGGAAAAAAGTAACCATAAAACATTGGCATGAAAGCACTAAATCGAGCAGCGAGGAAACAAACGATCACGTGGCGACGGTGTGACCGCGGGACAGGGACAGTGCGCCTTTCACCATGAGCCATCTGAAGGGCCCTTTATCTTCTTATCAAGCAGCGCCTCCAATTCTGACTTCTACTCAGACAAAATTAAGGAATAACCAGAGACCGTCGGCTGCCAAATTGGATTTGCAAATATTAATATGAATGGAATTCTTCTCCTGGCGAGCGCAAGCTTGGACCGCTGGGCGGAGCTTCTCGCTGCTCACATTCACCGGGGGTGGGGTGTCACGGGTCTCTGGTCGGGGGCTCTCTGTTTCAGCGTGGCTGGGGCAAAGCCCAGCTGGGAATAGGAACAGGAGGCCTTAGGGTTGGGCCCAGTACCAGGACCCCAGCCATACGGCGTGCTCTTTTTGCCGTGGACGACTGGCATGCTTACATGTTGGGTCCCAGCAGAGGACAACCGGAAAATAACAGCATCTGCGGCCCAGACTGACTTTGGACTCCCAACGGATGAGGAATATCGCATGCAGGGAACCCCCTGTCTGGTGCTACGCCGTAGGTCTGTCCTCCCTGCCGGATCCAAAGGCAACTTCGGAAGCCTGTCACCTCGCCCAATCTCGTATCGCCAAGCCCCGCCCACATCCTCAACAGCTTTTTGAAGGAAGCATCCGCAGCGCTAGAGGCGACAAATCTGCCGACCAGGGGACCCGCATCTTCAGGAACTGTCGCTATGGAGACAGGGACGCACGGCGACGAGGCCACATCACAACTCGCCACTGCGCTAGAGCCGTCCGCCCCACTAACAATCCAGAGGGGGCACCCAGGAGGCCTCTGATCCCGCTGCTGACAAACCTGTTTATCTGTGTTATTAACCGCACATTAAGTGCACTCAACTCCGGCCGGGACCTCGCTCTGCACAAAAAACTGCTGTGCTGTAAAATCACAAACTCCATCAAAACAGACGCATTTAGGTTTTATGCACTGAGACAGATGGAGGTCTTTCCAGACTAGAAAGCTTTAAATTAAATAAAACTTAGCAAAACTGCTTCAGTACAGTAAAACAAAAACAAATGAATGGAATGGAATACAATTAAACTGAAAGAAGCCTGCTCTTACTGTGTGGCAACGTCACATGACCGGGCAAGATCTGATTGGCCAGATTTGTCATGGGCTAGTTTTACTAACACATGCCCAGCCTACATGAGTTAAGGGCTAGTTCTACTGTCATGTGACCAGCCACGATGGGGCGAGAGCTAGTTTTACTGCCGTTTGACTGGCCAAGATTCATGAACGAAAGGCACAGAGATGAATTATGGCGTTGTTTTTTCACACCTGGTTCTGTTCAAAACCACCGCTCACACAGAGTTCCTGCTAATTGAGCTGCCAGGGAACGTACCCATAAAGAAAATGACTCTGCCCTTGATTGCGTTAACAGGGATTAAGGCCCTCCAATTTGGGTTTTCCGAGGCAGCCCAATTCGCCCGCACGCCTGCATTTACGAGCCATCGCCACTGAGCCCCCCCGCCCACGTATAAGCGATGGATGCGGCCGGCGGGCAGGTCTTCCACGCCGGCAACACACTGACCCGAGCGAGGACCTCCCGCCACTCGCAAGGCAACCATCTCAAGCCGGGATTCCGTCTAATTACTCCATCATGTAATTTCACAAATTGCCTTTTCACCAGGGATCGTAACTCGGAACGCGGGCACAGTGGGAATTTTTGGGCCGTGGCATTCATTTAGCGCTCGCTTCTCGTTAAATTAAACAAGAAAATAGTGCTTGCGAGGGGGGGGCGGAGGGGGAAGGGGTGGTGCTGGAGTTCAAAGCGAAACGATGCCGGTAGTAGTGGTGGTGGGGGGGGGGGGGGGGTGTTCTGCTGTACTCCACAGCGCCCCCAAGAGGCAACTGAGCAGCATTTTTTTTCCACAATCTCATTCCCAAATGTGGTTTTACCTGCTACACCTAGAGGCACGACTAAAATGAAGGTGTAGGACACACTCCTGTCTAACAGGAGACTGCAAAGGCACATGTTAAAATCAGGGTATTTCCTACTGATCAGCACCCAGCCCTCCTTTCTCCCTCCCTGTCTTTCTCATCTTCTTCATGATGTCATTCAAAGGCACCCAAATCCATCCAAAAGTCCACGATGCTTCATAAATACACCACCCAGCACCCAAGATGAGGCAAACAGGAAAGTTCAGAAAACCACAAATCCAGACCCAAGTTTTGTTTCAACCAACCATTTCAGTGTAAAGAGTCACAGCCACAGAGTACTCAACTGGTTGGTTGAAACAAAATCTTGGGACTGGATTTCCACTTTCTGCACCTGAACCTTCCACCTCTTGATAAGGATCTGGGTTAGACCGAGAGGATTACGCCAGCCTCCACCAACCAGGATGTGAAATAACCACTGCTCAGCCTTCCTGGCTCTCCAGCTCTCTGTTCAGTCTCTAGTACAGTCAAATCCAGCATTGACGGCTGCCCATCACAGACCCCCTCACCCCACCACAAAACTCCTGAGGAAGCAACCAACATCCCCCCCTCTGCATGACTTTCGAGCCAGGGTGTCCGTAAGAGCAATCGGCGGGGAAGGTAAAGCTAACATTTGCACTCTGGGGTCTTGACGAAACTCGGGCGTGATGTAAGAATGGAGGTCTTTGCTGAGACTGCAGAGCTCAACCAGAACAGCAATGCAGGTGCATGGATCTGCATTCCCACTAAATATCTCCAGAAGAAAAATATACTCCCGACTGTGGCCCCCCCATCTGTTTACTATACGCCCCCCTCCCCCCACAAACATTTAGCACACCTCCAACCTTTGCCCTTACCACTGCAAGGCTGCTCTGACAGACAAACTCATAAGATGAACAGAGCATATGTACAGCTAGCTCATAGTTTGCTGTCTGCCTCATACCACGTGCCGATTCCTGGTAATGGCCACGTCGGGATTCGGCCCTGAACAACAAACACCTGGTCTGGAGGCCCCGACATGGGCAGTGAGAGTTAGCATTAGCACGAGAAGCATTAGCGCCAATGTTAGCAGGGGTGTAAACGTTACTGTTAGCATTAGCACTCATGCTAGCTACAGCAACAGCGTCAGCTAGCAGTAGCATGAAAGTGAAGATTAGCATTAGCCTGGCCCCCCGCGAGGACAGCACATGCTGCGGCAGGTGCAGGGTGCCGCTTGCGCTCAGCAGCCTCCAAGTGGGGGCACGGGAGCAGAAACTCATAAAAAGATTCCCTTTTTGCTAAAGACTGGCTAGAAAAAGAGAACTCACCCCCTGCTTCCCTCCTCCCCTTACCCGCTACAATGAAAGGCAGCCTTGATACCAGAGCTGCAACAGATCAGCCTCTTTATGCTCCCAGAAGACACCAGGGGGTGTGGAGGGGGGGGTACAGAAAAGCACTTTATCTGTTCTGCAGACGGAGCTTCAGCCTGAATCAAACGCTAACCGCACGCTCAGAGAGCTCGCATGCAACGTGTACATCACAGGCCGGCCAGGGGCGCGCAAGCCGCCGCGTCTGAGCAAGGCAGCGGTCAGGGGGTCTTATGGGCCCCGCGGCCGGGCCGCCTCGGGCCCCGGCGTCTGAAAAAGTAGGAGGCCGTCCGTATCCATTGGGGCGAACAAGCCGGACGTGAAACTTGCTCGCGACTGAGAACGTGCTGTAAGAGACGCTTTTCGGCCGTGTCCGTGTTGCCCTGCGGCAACGTACACTAGGGGCGTCGACGGCGAGGGGGCCGGGATCCATCGCCACGCCCTAAATCCCCGCAAACACCACCCAGCGAGGGAAATCATCTTTCACAGCGCAGGTGCTCTCAACAACTGCCCTGAAAGAGCCAGCGGCGATCATGTGATGCGATCCAGGGAGCTGGCTGCCCAGAGCCCATAACCAGCCCCCGTGGCCCCCACCTCATAGCCCTCATAATTTAGCCGCCTGATGCTACTGCCTACTCGATGCTAAGCGCTAAAGGGAGGGTTTCCACTGTGGCTACTGAACCTGCTGAATAGCGTGTCTTGATTTTGCTGCCTATGCATGTCAGCATAGGAATGAGGTCCGAAAGCCATTCAAGCGACACTGGGTGGGAAATCGGTGGAAGCAGAAAGGTTAGCATAGGTGCAGGGGTCTGGAAAAGGGCTCTGTGGACAGGAGGCGGCCGCAGAGATGCGGGGAAGACTTACCGTCAGGTGCTGGAAGAGCCAAGCCCTCATGATGTTCGTGGCGACTTTGGGGAAGATCCCCCGCTTTTTGTTGCGCTTCTTCTCCTTGTCGGGGTCGTCGTCGTCCCCTGTGCTCGGCGACGCCACGTTGTCCAGTCCGTCGCCTGGGAAATCGGGGAAATTCAAGAGGTCAGGAATGGAGGTGCCGTGATCCCGGCCCAGGGAACATTCCGGGCTCTGACTCCTCACAAGACGGCACCGCTAACATCCATTTTTCATCACACTTAAAAACAACATCCTCTGTCTCCTCCCCACAAAGCCACACAAAGATGACACCTCAGCCCCCGACCCCCCTGGCACCCGCCCCCAGCCACCCGCCACCAACAGAACCCCAGTGATGGCTGAAAAACTTTTGGTGTCATTATCAGCCCACGGAAATAATATTTATTAAAAAGCACCCGTGTATTTTTTTTCGCTACCTCCAGTGAGGTGGGG